CATTGTCAGGAAGACCTGAATAAGTATTCTGCCTTAGACACAACAGCTCTGTGACCCAGGCAAGTCTCTTAACATCTCTAGGCTTCATTTTCCTCATCTATAAAATAAAATGTTGGACCCAATGGCCTCTAAGATTCTTTCTAGATCCAAATATATGATGGTGGATAAATTTTTTAAGAGATAAGAGTAGTGTTTTAGATTGGGAGTCAAAGGAGCTAGGTTTATATCTCAGCTCTGTTCTTTGATACCCTTGTAACCTTGGACAAGTCACTCAGCTTCAGTTCCTCATCTGGAAAACGAGGGATTGAATGAGGTAGCCTATGAGGTACCTTCTAACTCCAAATCAGGAATCCTAAACCATAACTGCAAAGGGGAATAAGTCTAGTCACGAACAATTGCCCAGTTTAGAAATAATCTTAAAGCTTCCAATCTGAAGTTCTGTTGAGGGGACCTATATATTCCTAAACCTTTTTTTTTAAACCCTGAAAAATTTCAGTGACTGATTGTGACTTCAGTGAACCACTGGTGAAGCATATTTTATTTCTCTTAATAGAAATATGGACTATTGGTGTAGAATGAGTTATATATTGTCAGTTCAGTGTATTGACATCTTTGCTTAACTGCACTTCTTTGCTTCAAGAGAGGGTTCTGCTAGGGAGCAATGGAAGGAGGGTCATTGGAAAATGATACTTGTATTTTTAAAAAATTACATCCAAAACCTTCACTTTGGCCCTGGAATTCACACATTGAAAGCATTCTCAGTGCCTATAGCCTTTGTCTGTGATTGGATGACTCCTCCCTGAAACTTCCATTTAAGGAGTGTGAATAGGTTAGTCATCTTTTCATTTCACCAGGCTGCAATTTGAACTCTTCCATCATATCCCCTTGGCAGGTACCATCTTCCTGCCTTGCCTCCCTCCCTCCCCAACTTTCTTTTATGTGTTGTCTTTCCCTATTAAAATATGAGTTTCTTGAGAGGAATGGCTGCCATTCTTTTTGCTTTACTTGTATTCCCAGCATTTAACACAGTGTCTGGGAAATAGTGCTTAATAAATGCTTACTTGTTGACTTACTAAAAAAATGGCGTTGATCAGTAAGGCAAATAAACACCATCTGAGATAATGAATTCTGAGTTACAGGCTATGTAGTCAACCAACACAGAATTGGGAGAAGGGATACTTTAAAGGAAAAAATGAAGTATATTTCACTAACTTGTCTTATGAAAACCAAGCACCATCCAAATGAGTACTTATCTTTTTCATATCTAAACAACTGGAATAGTATTTGGCATGAGAACACATCTGAGTGGGAATTATGATTCCCCATCAGCTTTTGGTAGCAGGTAACAGAACAGCTAGGTGCCACAGCAGATAGAGAGCTGGGTCTGGACTTAGGAAGACCTGAGTTCTAAGACACTTCCTAGCTGTGTGACCATGGGTAAGTCATTTAACCCTGTTGGCCTCAATTTCTTCAACTGTAAAATAAGAATCATAATAGCACCTACCTCCCAGGGTTGTTGTGAAGATCAAGTGAGACAGTGTTTGCAAACTTCTTAGAATATTACCTGGCACATGTTGTTATTAATTTGTTCAGTCATGTCTACCTTCTGTGACCCCAAGGGCTATAGCGCACCAGCCCCTTCTATTCTCCACTATTTCCTGAAGTCTGTCCAAGCTGATGTTTGCTGCTTCCTCGACACTATCTATCCATCTCACCCTCTACCATTCCCATCTCCCAACTTCAAGGTCTTTTCCAATGAGTTCTGTCTTCTCATAATGTGGCTAAAGTATCTGAGCTTTAGCTTCAGTATTTGTCCTTCCAATGAATAGTCTGAATTAATTTCTTTAAGTGTTGACTGATTGATCTTGCTATCCAAGGGACTCTCAAAAGTCTTCTCCAGCACCACAATTTGAAAGCATTAATTTCGTGGTGTTCAGCTTTCCTTATAGTCCAATTCTCACAGCCATACATTGCTCCTGGAAAAACCATAGCTTTGACTGTATCTACCTTTGTCAGCAAGGTGATGTCTCTGCTTTTTAGTATGATGTCCAGATTTGCCATAGCTTTCCTTCCAAGGAGCTAGCTTGGCTATAGTTGCTGTCTGAAGTGATCCTTGAGCCCACGAATATAAAATCTGACACTGCTTAGATTCCTTCTCCTTCTATTTGCCAGGAAGTGATGGGACCAGTTGCCATGACCTTAGTTTTTTTTTCTTTTTAATGTTAAGCTTCAAGCCAGCTTTTACATTCTCCTCTTTCACCCTCATCAAAAGGTTTCTTAATTCCTACCTTCTACCATCAGAGAGACATCATCTACATATCTGAGATTGTTGATATTTCTCCCAGCAACTTTAGTTTCAGTTTTTATTCATCCAGCCTGGCATTTCACCTGATGTGTTCTGCATATAAGTTAAATAAATAAGGTGACAATATACAGCCTTATCATACTCTTTTCCCAATCTTAAACCAACCAGTTATTCCATGTTCAGTTCTAACTACTGCTTCGTGACCTGCATACAGGTTCCTCAGGAGACAAGTAAGATGATCTGCTACTCCCATCTTTTTGAGGACTTGCCACATCTTATTGTGATCCAAACAAAGGCTTTAATGTAGTCAATAAAGCTGAAGTAGATGTTGTTATTTTTCCCCTGGAACTCTCTTGCTTTTTCCATATCTAGCAAATGTTGGCAATTTGCTTTCTAGTTCCCCTACCTCTTTGAAAACCAGCCTGCTCCTCTGGTAAGTCTCAATTCACATATTACTGAAGCCAAGTTTGCAGAATCTTAAGCATAACCTTGTTGGCATGTGAAATGAGCACCATTGTTCAGTAATTTGAACATTCTTTGGGATTGCCCTGATTTAGGATTGGTAAATAAACTGATCTTTTGCAATCACTGTCACTGTTGAGTTCTCCAAATTTGCTTGTATACTGAGTGCAGCACTTTAACAGCATCATCTTTTAGCATTTTAAATATCTCAGCTGGAATTTCATCATCTCTATTCTTTTATTGTTAGCAATGCTTCCTAATGTCCACTTGACTTCATTCTCCAGGATGTCTGGCTCTACATCAGTAACCACACCTTTGTAGTTATTGATGATGTTAAGATCTTTCTTGTATAGTTTTTCTGTATATACTTGCCACCTCTTCTTAATTTCTTCTACTTCTGTTAAGTCTTGATCATTTTTTCTTTTATCACACTCATTTTTAGATGAAACATTTTCTTTATATCTCTAATTTTCTTGAAGTGGTCTCTTGTCTTTCCCATTCTATTGTTTTCTTCTATTTCTTTGCATTGCTCATTTAAGAAAAGCTTCTTATCTCTCCTTGCTATTCTCTAAAATTCTGCATTCAATTGGACATATTTTTCCCTTATATAATGGGTACAATATAAATGCTAGCTGTTGTTATTATTATCATTATATAAACAGGCATGTTTATTGCATTTTGACATTTGCTTTATCTAAGCAAAAATGGCTGAAAATAGCCTTTAGTTGATTTTCTATAGAAATGCCCAGGAAAAGATGCTTTCCCCCAAAAGAGAACTTTGCCCAGCATGTAAGAGACTCCTTCTTTCTCCATTGATTTGATGTGTTTCTAACATTGTCAAAGGACCTCCAGCAAAATTGATCTGTTTTCCTGTCTGAAGATCAGCAGGATGTAATTCAGAATGGCAGCTAGAATTTTTGAAGTCAATTTGCAAAATACATTTAGCAATAGGTTTATAATCAGTGACTAGCTCTTTGAATCTTTACCATATCAGTAATAAATACTCTTGCTTGTTTCTCCCTTAATTGGCCAGATTATGTGTTTCTTATTACAGGAAAGAGCAAAGTTTTAATGATCTTGTTGAGTTTTTAAAAGAAGCTCACACATCCATAGGAGTATTTCCTGAAGCATTAATTTTTGTTGCTTTTTCTTTTAACAATACCTATGAACTCACTATGGTTTGCCACAAGTTCTGAAAAGAACAAAGGAAGCAAGAAAGAAGAAAGTATTTTTATAAGTCTTTTTGTTTGTTTTCTCCTGGAATTCAACTTAGATAACATCCTAAGAATCTTTATAAGTCTGTAGCATATTTTGGCAACAAGCAGCAGTGGCTAAATTAAAATTTTCCCTGTTGGCAAATGGCATTTCTTGAACACCCACTGAAACAAGGCATCCGATTTCAATGCACAAATTGCCTTTGAAAAAAGAAAGACTAGTTACACTTTTAACCTCCCCACAGCAGTCCCTAGCATCAACCTCACTCACTCCCTGGTCTTTACTAATTGGGCACCAAAGAACAGAAAGGTCTTGATCCACAACCGCTTGCTCAGGTGGAACTCTTACTCAGCTTCCATTGCTAATTTCTTTCAACCATTCAGCTACTACTCTCAGCTCAATGACATTTGTGGTTTCCATGTAATCCATATTTAGACTCCAGCACATGACTAAGACAAGTTTTTCATGTAGTATAATTAACATCTCTAACCAGCAAATAGCATTCATTTGAATAACAAATCACAAAAAGACAATGACATAAAAAGTACAATAAAAAGGGCTATATCTAGGAATTCTTGCATGGCATTGGGGAGGGGGCAGGGTGACATGAAGTAGCAGCAGCAGAACAAGAGGACAGTGTAATCATGGATACAATCATACTGGAAGGGGAGATGACTGGTCTTTCAAGAAGGGGTGACAGGTCCCCCATACTGACCCCACAAGGGATTTGAATGGATTGTGAACTCTGAGAGAGGCAACATGATAATGGGACTACAGGGGTGGCAGTATGGGTCAACAGTCACCACAAGGAGGAATTAGCTTTCCCTCCCCACCCCATCCCCCAGTACCCAGTATGTAAAAACATGTTAATCTCATGTTTCTGGACACCTTTCTATACAGTACTTTTTCAATTATCACATGAACTACATTGAAATCTCTCCCGCCTTGAGATCATCTGTTCTATACTGTCTTTGCTGACTTCTGGAATGCTGATAATGGAATTTAGAACAATAGAAAATGTCATGTCTTATGAAGTAGCCTGCTCTGAAATGTACTCTAGATAGGCTAAGGCAACATGTAGGTTCATAGTCTACTTCAAAGGAGATGCTCCAAACATCTGGGCATGGATGGAAAATAAGGTAAGGCTTGAAATATTTCCATAAGTACATGCTTTTCTTATAAGATCACATAGCATCAATAGACATAGAAATATTAATACTATCATTTGTGTTCCAAGTTGTTCCACTGCTAATGAAAAAGGAAAGGCCTGTTTCTTGGCTGGTTGCTGTCTTTGTCATTTTCCTAGCAGCAGGCAAGTACTCCTGCTGAGCCACCCACATTCCTTCACTCTGCTGCCCTTGTGATCTACAGCAAGCATTTGCTGCCAGTATATCAGGAATGGCAATTTGTGGCCCCAGAATGGAGGAAATCAATGGCCAAGAAATGATAGGTATACTTGACCTCATTAGTATGACAGTTTAAGCAACTATCTTAAATGACTACAGAGAGATTGAAGATTTGAGATGCCACTGTGCCCAAAGCATCAGTATGACTTTCCTGTGCTTTCCTCTCTACCATTTTTGGCCACATATGCCCTTCGTGACTGCCCAGCCTAGCCCTTATTCTTATATTTCTTAAGGTAGTGTAGGGGAGGAACCATTCACCTTGGTGAAGGTGGATTTCATTGATTTGGCTTAGGAAGTTGTCATGCTGTCCAGGAACTTGTGGTGACACCTTATAGATAATGGGATTAATCAACCAATCAATTTAGAAACATTTATTAAGTGCCTACTATGTGTCAGGTACTGTGCTAAGAGCTGGATAGATGTGTTATGTGTTTGTATTTTGTTGTTGGGGAACAGGAGAGAAGAGCAGAAGTAAATAATTCTACTGGGATGGGCCAGTTACAAGAGGTGAAGGCTGAAAGCAGCAGCAGTGGATAGGATGGGTGCAAACTACTTGACCTACTAGGAAGAGGACAATTACTCTTTTCTTTTTTTTTAGGCAACTGGGGTTAAGTGACTTGACCACAGCCACACAACTAGTAAGTGTTATGTGTCTGAGATCAGATTTGAACTCAGATCCTCCTGACTCCAGGGCTGGTGCTCTATCCACTGTGCCACCTAGCTGCCCCAAGGACAATTACTCTTGGCCATGGTCACAGTGGTAGCGAATAGCAATGCCCCTGGACCTCTGGTTGCAAACCCAGCATTATGTTTCCCCTCTAATGCAGAACACAGTACAAATGTCGTTAGTCACATTTCCATTTTCTGTCACATTTAGGCTTTCCCAAAAGATTGTTTCTTTCAGTTATCATTCAGTTTCTTTCTGCTTCTATGCCTTTAGTCAGATATGACTACAAAAAGCATGTTAAATATCCTGCCTTTTAACCATAGAGTTGATGGGCCCTTAAATTCATCCTCTTCTCACCTCAAGCTTCAATCCACCAGTTTCTTTGAGTCTTAATTTTATGCAACCCACAACCCAATTAACACCCCATTTAACCATACACCTGAGGCTTAAGCCTCAGACCTCAGTTTTGAAACAATTAACCCTCTACTGAACACCAAAAGGGTGTTGTAATTAGGCATCAAATGCAAAGAATGTGTGAATGCACTTTAGTAAAAATGCTTCCTAATAGATGAGAGATCCTGATTTGAAGAACATAACTTCCTTTAAAATCTTACGTAATTGCTGGGAGTGGTGGCCCACTCCTGTAGTCCCAGCTGCTGAGGAGGCTGAGGCCAAGAAGATCTCTTGACCTTGGTAGTTCTACCCTTCATAGGCTATGTCAATTAGATGTTAAAATCAATCCAACATCAATCTGGTGATTCCTGGGGTGAAGAGAAGTCCTCTCCACCCACCCCCCCATTACTGAAGGAAGAATGAAACTGGACCAGGTCAGAAATGTGTCGGTCATTAGTGGAGTCAGACTATTAGTAACTCCTGCACTTCCAGATTGGAGAAAATAAAGACCCAGTCTTAAAAAAAAAATCTTAGTTTCCACAAATATCAAGTAAAAACATTTATATTAAAACAAAGAGTGAATTTCCCTAAAGTTCACTTCCTGCCAAAATTTGGAAGAACTTTAAAATTTATGATTTTAAAGTTATATCATTACAAATTGAAATGACTCAAATCTTAGTCATAACCAGATTCAGTTGAGATTATTTATAACAAAAGCCCAATATAAAGTTTATGTTATTGGTGAAATTTGGCATTTTTTAAAAATATGAGATAGAGTGTAAAATGGAGCAATGGGGAAGGGAGAGGTCAAAATACTTGGGTTCTAATCTTCATCCTTTCACTAGCTATGTGATCTTGGGAAACTGAATTCTGTCACAATGAAATCATATCGATATGACATAAACAAATCTAACAACTTCAGCAGCCATAAATGGGGGAAGTTTTCCAAGGCTATCCCCCCCCAAAGGGGATGTTTTAATATTTGGGTAGTAACAATGAAAGTTACATCAGTGTTCCCTCTAGCAACCCATAAAACTAAAATAGGAAAGATAGAGTCACAAAGTGACATAAATGAAATGTTAATTAGAGAAAAATAAATGTATTTTAAGATAAAAATTTCTGAAGGATCACACTCAGTTTCCTCAGAAAAATTCAACTTTTTAAACAAAATCTTGGCATGTCTGACACTGCTTTTCATACTACCTGTGAGAAGTTAAGTTTCCTTTGGCTTTCATGATCTTTTTCTTGAATAAATTTTACTTTGATTTTTGATAAATGTAAAATTCTTATAAGAAGGGCCCTGAAATGCTAGGTAGATCTGCTATTGAGGATTTATTAGAGGACATAAAGCATTGCAAGGTATCACAGACTTGCGATCTGCAACTAACATTAATATGATAATATAATAATAGCTAGTATTTATATATTGATTTAAGGTTTACAAAGTATTTTACAAAAACTATCTCACATCATCACTGCAAACATGCTGAGAAGTAGGTGCTGTTTCTGTGTAGAGGAAACTGAAGAAGACAGATTAAGTGACTTGTCCAGGGTCACATGTCTTGTAAGTGTCTGAAGGAACATTTAAACTCAGGTCTTCCCACCACCAAGTCCAGAACTCTCTATCCCCTACCCTACCTAGCTACCTGAACCACGTACTCATTAAAGTATTGTAATATTAAATGTAACTTTTCTCTTGGGAAATAAATGACATTAAGAATGAAATTGCTAACCACAAATGCTTCAGATGTTAAAGAAATCATTGTTTTTATTGAATTTCTAATATTCCAGAATGTTTTGCTGTTTTTGCCAGGTGTCCCAAAAGTCTTAGTACAGTGTTAAGCTATTAATGGATTATTAAATATTTTATATTTTTATATAACATATATGTGTTGTATATGCATATATAACATATTTATATTATATAACATTTGCATAATATCTAATATTTTCTCATTCAAAACTGGTGTAATAGTACAAAGTGTAAAGGAGAGAGGTGTTGCATATTAGTGAGATTATATTTATTAGATGAACTCTTCAATTTCCAATACTAACATGAACATTGACAGTATTTATTTTCTGCTCCCGTACCTCGTCTTTGTTTCATGTGTTGTATGTATGTTATTTGTGAGTCTTGGAAAACTCCAGTCTCTGAGACTTAAAAATTAGTATCACTCAAAGGCAATGGAGAAATACATGGTGTGAGCATCCTGTAAATATAGTGATACAGGAACTATGAGAAAGAACAAAGATAAAAGATGTCATCAAAGAAACCATGACCTAACCCTCACAACAACCCTGAGAGGAGGAGGTTCTATATTCATGCCCCATTTGAGGCAAAAAATTTCCCAGGGTCACATAGCCTTTTAGCACATAAAGTAGACCCTTGTGGCAATTTTAGAGGCAGACATGGACAAAAGTTACATTGGATGAGCAGTTCTGGCTGGGTTTCCACTGAGGGATGTGAGATTAGGAAGACAGAACATAGAGCACTCTCAGCAAGCAGCCTCAGATTTTTCAGTGACCTATGTGGCAAGATTCTCACTAAGTAAAGGCAGCTAGGTGGCACAGTGGAAAGAGCTCCAAACTTGGAGTCAGGAGGACCTGAGTTCAAATCCAACCTCAGACACATAACACTCACTAGCTGTGCGGCCCTGGGCAAGTCACTTAACCCATTGCCCCATTAAAAATATATATATATATATATAGAACAACAACAAAAAAAGATTCTCACTAAGAGTGCAGGGGAAGGGAATTATGAGAGGTTTGAGAAGGATGAAAAGTTTTGCCAGAAGTGCTGTGGTAGGTGAGATAATGAGTCAATTAGGGGAGTAAAAGTAACGGCCCAGTTCAGATTATTTATCATAAATTTGCAGTGGATACAGTCAACACAGACAACTATAGGTTGAACTATAGGTTTGAACAGGACAAAAAGCTAATTCTAACCATTAATCAAAGGTCACAAGCCCGAGGGCCAAGACCAAAAGAGAAGCGGATAAAATTAATTTTTGATGGGCCGGAAAGGGCATAAGTAAAAGAGTCAGGACATATCAGTTCTAGTCCTAACTCTTCCACCACTTAGCTGTGTGATAATAGAGAAGTTAGTCTGCCTCTATTGGCCTTATTTTCCACTCTGTAAAATGAAAGGACTAATGGAGATTTTATCTAAGGAGTGTTCTGGTCCTAAAACATGATTTTATGAATCCTCTGTTTACAGGAAAAAAAAATATCTTGGGTGGTTTTAGTGATTATCAAATCCCTGTTTCCACCATTTAAAAAAAATCATTTCTAATATAAGTGGACCTTTTTTTGAGGGGGAGGGAGACAAGGAAGGCAATCAGGATTAAGTGACTTGCCCAAGGTTGCACAGCTAGTAAGTGTCTAAGGTCAGATAAAACTCAGTCCTCCTGACTCCAGGGCTGGTGTGCTATCCACTGCGCTATGTGGGCCTTTTTAGTAGGTGTACTCTGTGTGCTGCTTTATCTTCTTTTTAAGAATTTTTAAAGGAGATTTATGAATCTCTTATGATCATAGAATCATAGGACCTCAGAATGTAAAGGAAACTTAGAAGTCATCTTGCCCAGTCTGTTTGAACAAAAATATTCTCTATGACATCCCCAAGCGGTCTTTCAGCTTCTGCTTGGAGGCTTCCAATGATTTGGCACTCACTACTTCCTGAGAGAACGTAGCTCACATCCTTTTGGAACCTTCTAATTGTTGGGAAGTTTGGGGAGGTTTCCCCCTTAGATTGTGCTGAAATATTCCTCTCTGAAGCTGCTACCCATCATTCTTTTTCACAGGTATGCTCAGCACATCAACACTAGAGTGTGAACCTTGGGAATTTTATTTTTTTTATTCTCTAAATAAATGAATGTTTATTGAATACTAAGTCATAAGTAATATTATTCATTAAATGATAATGGATAACACAGAGATAGCCCTTTACACTTTAAAAAGTACTTTTTTTTTGATGAGGCAGTTGGGGTTAAGTGACTTGCCCAGGGTCACACAGCTAGTAAATGTCATGTGTGTGAGGCTGGATTTGAACTCAGATCCTCCTGACTTCAAGACCATAAAAAGTACTTTTATATATATTATCTGAATTGGTCGTCATGATAGTCTTCAGTGTGAGAGAATGGGAGTGTTTATAATTAAATTCATTTTACAAATTGGGAAACTGAGGATGACAGAAATTAAATCATTTGCCAAGTCATCAGTTGGTCTAGTCAGCAGTCAGTTGGTAAGAGTTCAAAGTAGGGGGTTCTTAATCTTTGTGTATGTGTGTAGGGGGGTTATCATGGACCTATTTGGTAGTCTTATGAAGCTTATGGATACCTTCTCAGAATGATATTTGCTTTGCTGTTTGTTGTAGTTCAGTTATTTCAGTTGTGTTCCGACTCTTCCTGCCTCCATTTGGGGTGATCTTGGCAAAAGATACTGGAGTGCTTTGCCATTTCCTTCTCCAGCTCATTTTACAGAGGAAGAAACCAAGGCCAACAGGCTTAAGTGACTTGCCCAGGATCACACAGCTAGTAAGGGTCTGAGGTCAGATTTGAACTCAGGAAGATGAATCTTCCTAACTTCAGGGTCAGCACTCTATCCACTGACCCACCTAACTGCCTATGGTATTTGCTACTTACATTCACAACTGAAGGTGTTGGGGCTGGACCTGACTCAACCTAATTCCTGGTAGTTTGTGTTTGATATAGAAACATGAGACACTCCAAGGTCATCCAACAGTTAACAAAAGAGAGATTTATTTAGGTCTAGCTGGAGGATATTCCACAAGGATGGGCATTGAGGACATGAGTTGATTCAGCTGAGCAAAGCTCCCTGGCCTGAGTTACCCATTGTGATCTGCCAGCCAAGCATCAAATAGCCCCTGAAGGTCCTCAAAGTCCAGTACTATATCCAGTGTACCAAACAAACTAAAGAAACAAAAACTTAATGAAACTCTATCTTTCATTAACAACTATACTTTAAAACATAAACTTTGCAAAGAGCCACTTTTTATCAAGTCATTTCCATTACTCTAAAAGATAGAGCCTTTTCCAGCCTTTTCTTAGCTAAAAATGCACCTTTCCAAAGAGATCTCGCTCCCATAGCCCTGAACTTTGTCATAAAGAACCAATACCAGAGTTTCAGAACTGGTAACCCAAGCGTCATCCTTTTAAAACTTAAAATGTTAGTTGTTTTACCTATACCAACTAGGGCCCCGAGTTGTGAACATGGAAAGCAAAGTATCCAGAGGAGTCCAATGGCAGGAGGAAGTAGGGAGGGAAGATACATAACTGATTTTTTTCTTGGCTTCACTTCAATGAGATGGAATCTTTGGGAAGGCGCAGGCACCTCTCCTGTTGGCAAGAAGAAAGATGGCAAAGAATATACCTCGCCTGGACAGGAATTGGGCTCCCAAGCAGAAGTGGTATCACAGCAGGTGAGACAGTACCAGGGAGAAACTTCAGAAGAGGGTTGCAGAGAGTACTGAATTGTGGGATAAATGAAATAAGCTTTTACACGGCACCTACTATGTGCCCATCACTGTGCTAAGTGTTTTGCAAATATCTTATTTGACCCTCACAATAACCTTGAGAGTTGAGTGCTATTATCCCCATTTTATAGTTGAGGAAACCGAGGCAACCAGTGGTTAATTGACTTGTCCAGGATCACACTGCTAGTAAGTGTCTGAGACTGGATTTATACGCAGCTCTTCCTGATTCCAGACCCCATACTCTGTTCATTGGACTGCCTAGCTGCCGAATCACTAGACAAATTTCCTTTTTCTTCCCATACCAGAGCTTCACAGAAGCAGTGGAAAATAAGGAAGTGGGAGGCAGAAGACCAAAACAGGAACAGCTGCTGTAGGGGATGCAATAACTGGGAATACACAGAGTCTGTGAAATATACCTTTCCTTCTAGGGGATGCTAAATCCTAGATAAAGTACTTGAAAGTATTCAAAGTATTCTTCAAATACTTGAAAATAGCAATCAGGTCCATCCCACCTTTCCTCTTCGCCCGACTAAAATTCTTCTAACTTATAATAATGTTGAACAGTTCCACTGCTTTTGTTGTCCTTTTCGAGATGTGCTCTATTTTGTCCATGTCCTACTTCCTAAAATATCACACTCAGAACTGGACACAGAGGTCTAGATAGGGAGTTTTGTCTCAGTGGTCTTAATTATAGGACACTATCATGCCCCACATTCTGGACAGTGCTTACATTAATGAACACTGACACTACTTCAGCTTTTTGGGCAGCCACGTCACACTTTTGACCCACAGTGGGCTTACAGTTTGTTAAAACTTCCTTATCTTTGTTTCATGAACTATTTGCTAAGCAAGTATCCCTGCCCTGTCCCCTCACCTCCATGCAGTTGATTTTTTGGACCCAAATGCAGCACTTTATACTTGTTCAATTTCATCTCATTAGATTAGCGCATGATTCTAATCTGTTGCAATATTTTAGGAACCCAGTTCTGTAGTCCATTACATTATCTAGCCCTTCCAGATTGTCTCATTTACATATTTGATAAGCATACCATCCATACTTCCTCCAAGATTTGTATATAATATTTCATTTTTAAAACACAGTTCAAAATTGATTCATAGTTATGTAACCCTCTGAGGGAGGGTTGTGATCCTTCTCTCACCTGATCTCCAATCACATTGCATTATTCATATATACTCATTATATTCTCATTGATGTTATGTTTATTCGTGTACATGTATGACCTTTCCCATTAGATTGTATATTCCTCTGAGGACAGTAACCAAGTTTTAATTATCTTTATACACCTCCCAACTTCTAGGACAATTAATTGCATAATGTAGATGTTGGGTAAATTTTAAATAAGTTACTGGATACAGGCTTGAAAAAAGCCTCACTCACCTATTTGCACAGGTCAAGAACTTTTTATTTTCAGTGCCCCACACTGGGGACAGAATAGAGGGGAGAAATGTGTATAAGGCTAATTTCCTAAGAAATAATATAAAGACAGAAATGCTTTCAACATCTCTGGCTAGCAGAGTTCTGCCTACAACAGAAGGGCCCAGACAAGTAATCACAGAAACTCAGGACTCCAGAGGTGGAAGTATTCTTCTCATTTTAGAGACAAAGAAACCATTAAGAAATAATCACAAATGAAATCTATCACAACCCATCATTTCATCTAGGGCCATTAATTTTCAGGAAGAAGCCTACTACAAATCAAAGTATGTTTGGACATAAGATGGTATCATTTGTAATACTCAATGTTAATAGAAAAACACTAGTACATCTTCAGTACCTGCCACTGATAGGCATTGATCAGATCTGATGTGAAGACAAAGACTTATTAATCCTGAGGACCATTTGATACAGCGCTTTCCCTTTCAAGCACCCAGAGGATATTAATCAAGCTGGGACTATTTTTAGGATGTTCAATTCCATATGTCAAGTGGGATATTGGGAAGGGGAAAATGGGAGATTAATAGGGAACCCAAGAACACTAAACAGATACTGAAGTGCTGAAGATTAAACAAAAGAATGGGAATTACATTAATTTGTGCCATGTTGTAAACTCTGAGAGACTAATCTCTGAAGCGTTTGTAATGCTTCAGCTGACCATTTGTAATCAAAGCTACTCCTAAAGAATTAGGGTAATGATGTGATCACAATAAAAAAGATACATAAAGAAAAACGGTTCACACACAAGTTATTACGTCCAGCACTAATTTTGTTGAAGAATTCCAACTCAGTTCCATAGTTGGACACCTTGACTTCCTCATACTTAAGAAACAAATGGGAAATTATGTATGACAGACATCTTTTAGGAACAATAAATTGGGTTACCTATGTGGTCTGGCCAAACAAACAATGTGTACAAGGTAGAGAGAGCTCAATCTAGAAATGTTAGTTGTTATACTACTATTGTACTAACCATTTAAGGGGAGGTATGATGCAGGACAGAAAAACTAGTCTGTGCTAGCAAAGTCTTAACATAAAGAATGTCTCAATACTTTAAGAGATGTTAGAAGTAATTAACAAGCATCTCTATTTGAGAACACAGTTTTCTTAAACCAGTGCAAGACACAGGGTTGGTTTTTTTTTTCTTCCTGTATTAAAGCATTGTAAGTTAGGGCTTACAGCAGATAGTACTGAAATTTGCCTCACATAGAGATATACACAAATAAACATCAATAAATTCCTATAATTGTATCATTACATACTTCAAACTCACCAGGCTGTCTTTGCGTTGAAGATTATGGAAATGCTTGCCAATTAAGCAAGAATCCAAAAGAAGGCTGGTTGTTTGTTATAGGAAATTTTTGGTAGTTATTTTTTTCATTCTATGTAAAAAGAGTAGATTTATGACACTTTTCTTACTCTATATTTTGATTCCATAAACTTCCTTCACTAGATTTGGAACCAGAGGACTTGACTTAAACTATAGTCTTCTAATCACTGACTATGATCTTTAGCAAATTGTTTCCCCTCTGAGCTTCTGTCTCCATACCTTAAAATGAGGTAAAATGAAAGTCATAATAAATCACCTCTTAGATCCTTTCAATCCCAAAATCTGTGAGTTTATTATTTCTTGTGAAATATTATTTGACTATAATACATCTACATACTCCAAGTATAGCTCCTATCATCAGACCAGTAGCTAAGAATTTTTGTGCCTGGGGCTAACAAATGGTACAAAGCATGTGCTAAGTAAAGGAAATTGGTGGAAGGGTGGTAGAAAAGGAAGAAAAGGAGCTCACCCTAATTTGCTATCCATCTGCTTCTTATATCAAGTTATTGTTCTTGTTAACTAGGTATTAAACTCTGTTGTGCTATTAGGGTCTACTAAATTCAGCACCCTCCAAATTCAGAGCCCTGGGACAAAGCTCTAGTTGCCCCATCCTAGTTATACTTCTGGCTAGTATTATATTATGCATTTGTACTAAATTAATAATTTGGTTTTTTTTCCTAGAGGAACATATAATAGGGACAATTAGTTAGGTTCTATATGAACTAAATCCTCATTCTATCTGAATATCTTGTAAGATAGATACCCTTTATAGGCTCAGCCACTTTTATAAGATCTTTTTCATGTTATCCACAGAAACTAGCATTAATGAGGTTGTTGCAAAAATAAAGCACTAGAAAGAGTATTGCTTAAATCCTTGTGGGATACTCAAATACCTATTTTCTGCCTCAGAGTCAGAATAAAAAATGAGGCGTTTATTCACAGAAGCATAGCTGTCACTCTGCACACCCCCAAAGTGAAAGCACAAAGAGAAAACTCAAAGAAGGAGGTGAAAGTAGTTCACTGTGGTGCAGAAATGGAGTTTGGAAATTGTTTGCAGGGGATGAAGCCATGACTGACTGGGAACTAACAGCACCCTTTAGGTACGTTTTGTTTCATTGATGCTTTTTTCTAAAATTACTGTCACTTCCCAATAAATTTTTCTCCAACCTAGAACCCTCCTATGTTCCATCGAAAGCAGTGAACCTATCAAGCAACATACTGGATAGCACATAAGTGACATACCTTACTACCCAGAGGAGGGGAGCATGCTTTATCCTGAGTCTTACGGAACCAAGATTGGTCACTGCAGTTAATCTGATTTTGGATGCCGTTTAGTGTTGTTTTCATTTATGTTATTGCAGTCACTATATACAGTGTTCTCTTGGTTCTATATCAGATCTTAGACATTTTGACATATGTCTTGCAATTGGTCATATCCACACTTTTTTTTCCTGGCAATAATATTTCATAATATTCATATCCCACATTTTATTGGGCCATTCCCAACTGATGGGCAACCAACTGTTTTTTTCAAAAGCAAACAAATAAAAACTTTGTCCCTAATTTTTTGCTACCAAAAAAGTGTTGCTATGAATGAATATATATATATATATACATGCACATGTGCATATAATGTTATATAGGTGTAGAAATAGGTATTCTGTCTTTAACCCCATCTCCACCCCAAGGTGGAGGCAGCTAGGTAGTATAGTGGATAGAGATATGGCCCTAGAGTCAGTAAGACCTGAGTTCAAATCCAGACAGATAATTACTTGCTATGTGACCCTGAGCAAAGTCACTTAACCCTGTTTGCCTCAGTTCCTAATCTATAAAATGACCTGGAGAAGGAAATGACAAACTACTTCATTATCTTTGCTGAGAAAACTCCAAATAGGTTTCTAGAGTGTCAGACACAACTGAAAAGACTCAAGAGCAACAAAATATCCCCAGGTGGAGGGGTCATAGGTTATAAACAGTTGGATGACTTTTCTTACATAACCTTGAAATCTTTCTATGATTACTGGACCATAGCCACCAATACAATTGTTTCACTCATCTTCTCACAGCCTTTCCATTGTTGACTTTCTATTTTTTATTATCTTTTTTGCCAGTTTCATTGTTTAAATGTAAAATTTCATAGTCATTTAACATGCATTTCTCTTATTACTGATGTGATTAATGACATCTTTTCATATTTTGATAAAAGTGTGCCTCCTCTTTTGGCAATTGTTCAAAGATAGGAATGATAAATATTGAATGGGTTACAGAAATACAAGCATACTGTGATACTATTGTTGAGCTGTGAATAGGCCCAAGCATTTTGAAAAGCAATTGGAATTATTCTAAAATTGATTACAATATCCAATCCTTTGACCCAGAGAGATCATTGCTAGGCTTATTCTCCAATAAAGTCAGAGATAGAAAATAGTCATAGCAGCAGTTTTTGGTAGCAAAGAATTTGAAATAAATTAGATGCCCATCACTATGGGAAATAGCTAAGCAAATCATGGCACATGAATGTAATGAAATGTGAAGAATTCATAGAAGCATGGGAATATATACCCACTGATGAAGAATGAAGTAAACACAAAGAGGAAAACAATAAGCAAGATGCCTACAATATAAATGGGAAGGGAAAAAAAACAACATGAACACTGTGTAATTATGTAAAGATCAAAGTTAAATCTAAAAAAGAGGTAGAAAAATGTTCATTCATTCCTTTCTTTGCAGGGATGGAGGACTATGGATGTGGGACACTTTATAGACTGTTAGACTTGATTGATGGATTGGTTAGTTTTTCTGAACTGCTTTTTTTCTTTCTTTTTTTATCATTTGCTACAAAAATTTTCTACAAAGATGCTATAAGCATGTTTCCCACTCAGATGAAGATGTGGCAGCTCTGAGTCTGATGATGCGGCGCTCACAACCATGCAAAGCTAACCTAAGTTTCCTGAAAGTTTCACCTTCATTAATTAGTTTGTTACCTCACAAATTGGATAGGATGCAGCTACATATAGATTAGATCGGATAAATATAGATATATGCAAACTAAGGTAATTTTTAAAAGATAATAAAATTTTAAAAAGCAAACCATTAATATCATTTGACTACATATGTTAGTGATATGTAATTATTTCTGTTTATTGGTCCCCCAAAATCTTCCAATATCCTTGTGCATGAGAGACAATAAAAAAAAACTGGGGCCCCTGGAAGGAAAGCAAACTAATATAATTTTTATCTTTGAATTTCAGTCTTGAAATGAATGTTTCTCATGGCTAAAGATTTGAAGCTTTCCAAGTACAAACAAACAAACACACCAAGAAATCAACTGTGGCAAATGAATTCAAGCATACAGCTATGTGAAGAAACGGATTAAGGCAAGGAACATCCAATATTTCCCCAAGGTCATTCATTACAAGGCCCTGCCTCAGATAACATCTGTATGAATAAAAAGAACATCTGTATGGTACTATAGTTTAGTGTATCAGAGAAATTGTAAAGAGCACTCATTAAAAGCCTAAGTGCTTGCAAAAGACTTTAAAGATCATCTCTGAACAGTATTTTACTTTACTCCCAGGCCTTGCCAACATATATACATTTAACTTTCCCTATCCCCTCTTTACCATTCTAGAGCCATAATCAAATCACTGACAATCAATTGCTACAGGAAAAAAATCGCATTTTAATTTTCTTACCTTTGGCTCCACTCACCATCCCTATAACCTCCCCAAACAAGAATACCCCTCCCTGGCTATCATTTCCCATATGTGTTGTTTCCTCCCAGTTTTAATGTGAGCTCCTTGATAGATTCTCTTTGCTTTTTTGTTTTTATGTCCAGAGTTTGGGATGGTGTTTGGTGCATAGTATGTGCTTAATAAATGCTTTTTTTATTCTCTCTCTCTACAAACCTCTTAATACATCAAGTCACATTTTACTCTACCCACCTCTAAAAACCAAGAGCACTTATAGTTTACACTACCTGTAAACCTGAATTGCTATAGAAGTGGGATATGTCATGATTGATTATATAAAGTCTTACACTGACAAAAAAAGTCATCTAAACCCACCAGTAAATTTTATAAATGAAGACACTGAAGTCTGGGGAGTAAAGTGGTCTATGTAGTTTCACACAGGTGGTAAGTAGGAAGAGCAGGGATTTAAATCCATGATCTGATTCTCTAGAGCCAGTGCTCCTTCAAAGGTACCACACTAGCTCTTAAGGTTAGTCTCACTTCTACTGTGACTCCCCCTGCCAATTCTATAATTTTCCTTCTTCCTTTGCTTTTGAATCTTTTCATTCTCTACTGCTTTTTCTTCACTAGACAAGGAGACATTGAGGTCCCTGTCCTGTACACCTGACTCTAAACTTGAGCTACCAGAAAGGGTCACCAAGAATTCAATATTTCAACTGTAGACTAGTCTGGGACAATCCACTTAGTGGTCATTGTTTGGGCTCTGATTAGCTCAGAGCAAGTGTTAAATTAGCTATTGTTTCTGTTTTGGCCAGGAATCCTGAGGACCTTCCCCTCTGAGATTGATTTTTTTTTTTGACTAGGTAAAACAGGCCATTTTTTTGTCTCATTTCTTACCTAGCCTTAATCACTGAATGGGCATTAACCCAGTCAAACTGAGACCTGGAAAAGAAGTCAGCTAAAAAGGCCAGGGTCTCCCACTGTATGTGGGGCCATCTCCTGTCATCCTGATCTGTATCTGGCCACTGGACCCAGATAGCTCTTGAGGAAAAAGTGACGCTGGTGACTTTGCACAGCCCTCCCTCATTTAAATCCAATTCACTTGTAAGTCATGGAATCACCTTCCTGAGGCCACGGTCCTCTTCTAGAGCAAAGGACAAACAACAATAGCAGGGGTCAGTAAGCAGGGAAAATTCTTGCTGGCCTGGGATGTCTGCCCTGGAAATGCAGAGAGTTTCATTATGCTTAGAATAAAAAGTCTTGACATGGTTTAAAAGCAGTTGTATAACCAATCATGAAAAAGTCCAGAGAATAGTAAAACAGTACAGATAGGCATTACAAAAATCCTCTCTTCAACTAATTTGGATGAAATAATACTATAGTTCTCTCCTTGGGCACTCTTAACAGGAATGTTCTGTAAAGTTACTGATTGATTTAACAGAAATTAAAATATAATCATAGAATTTTAGTTCTAGAAGAGATCTTAGAGGTCACTTATTACTTCTCCTTTATTTTGCAGATGAGGCAACTAAGGTTAAGAGATGTTAAACTCCTTGACAAAGGTCAAATACATAGCTAATATTAGAGCTGAAGCTTGAACCTCTGTCTTCTGGTATTGTGTCTAATATTCTTTCCACCACACCATAACGTATCTCATACAAAAAGAAAAAAGTACCCATTTTTACTGATTTCTAAAACCCATGACATTTTTTTCTTCTTTTTTTTTTATTGGCTTTCTGGACCTCTTTTGCCATTTGGGTTAGGCTATTTTTTAAGGTGTTATTTTCTTCAGTATTTTTTGGGTCTCCTTTAGCAAGCTGTTGACTTGTTTTTCATGATTTTGTTGCATCACTCTCATTTCTTTTCCCAGTTTTTCCTCCACTTCTCTTACTTGCTTCTCAAAATCCTTTCTGAGCTCTTCTATGGCCTGGGACCAATTCCTATTTTTCTTGGAGGTTTTGGATGTAGGAGCTTTGACTTTGTTGTCTTCTTCTGACTGTATGTTTTGATCTTCTTTGTCATCAAAGTAAGATTCTATGGTCTGACTTTTTTTTTTTTGAGGTTTGCCCACAATCCCAGCCAATTACTTGAGTTTTAAACTCTTTGTTAAGGAAAGGGTCTGTTTCCAATGTGGAGAATGTACTGTCCTAGCTTCAGGGGTTTTGTGCAGCTGTTTTCGGAGATATTTCTAGGGACCTGTAAATTTTCAGTTGTTCCAAGGTGGTATGATCAAAGGCGAGGTGTTTACTCCTTTCCTGGCCTGTGCTCTGGTGTATGGGTGACCAAAAGCACTCTTTTCTGCCTTGGAACTGTGAGGACAATCACTTCCCTACCACCATTGTAAGCTCCACCTCCTCCTCCCCCAGGGCCGCTACCCAGGACTTTGACTCAGATGCAAGGACAGGCAAAGTAAGGGAATCCTGCCTCAGCACCAGCAAAGAGATCCCTGCAATTGTGCCACTCGATCAGCCACTCAATGTCCCCTCCATCTATGGTCCGAGAGCTCTGGAAGCAGCCACCACCACGGGGCTGCACCAGGACTGGGGCCAGACTGAGCTTCTTTCTCACCAAGGTCTGACAGAGCTTTCCTACTGACCATCTAAGTTGTCTTTGGCATTTGTGGGTTGAGAAGTCTGGAAACCCCCACAGTTCGCTTGATTCAGTCCCCTGAGGCCTGTTCTAGGTTTGCATGGCCCATGCTGAACTGCGCTCTTCTCCCATCCCAGAGCAACAGACATTTCCAATCAACCATCCAGGTTGTCTTTGGCTAGAAATTCATTTTACTTTGTCTTTTTGTGGGCTCTGCTGCTCTAGAATTTGTTTAAAGCCATTTTTACAGATATTTGGAGGGGTTTGGGGGACAGCTCAAGCAAGTTACTGCTCTTACTCTGCCATCTTGGCTCCACCCCACCATGACATTTTTTTTCTGAACTGAGTAGAAAACCTGATGTTAAGCCCCACTCTGACTTCATTGGTTACACTGCTGTATAAGCAAAAGGGATTAAGTTCAACTCTCTCATCCTCAGTTTATTCATCTGTAAAATGGAGTAATAGAACCTATATACCACTGCTCTAAGGAAAGGGCTTTGCAAATCATAGCCAAATGTTATATAAATTTGAACTATTTTTCTTACTACAATTCTCCTTTAATTTAGTTGGTTTATCTTGGAGATTATCTGAATATATTGGGAGGAGGTGACAGATACAAAAAAAAAATATATGAATATAAGGGATCCAGTTTTTGGGAGACCTTTCTCAGGAAGGCAAATCTGTTCTACTCCAGAGTAGCTCCTGAAATGATTCCATCTACGTTGAAAACAGAACACCTTCCAACTGCTGAGACATTTGAGTGCCTGGAAGAATCCCTAAGATCCACTGCTGGAGTGAGAATTAATGTTTTCTCAGCACCCCAAAGTAGGAGAGTACTGGACATAGAGTCAGGGAAATGAATTAAAAACTTTCCTGATAATTGGGATCATAGATTATAGTATCACAGATTTTTAGATCTGGAAAGGATGTTAGAGGTCATCAAGTCCAAAGCTCCCCTATCCTTAATTTTATGGAAGTGAAACTGAGACCCAGAGAAATCAAGTGACTTACCCAAAACTAGACTATTAAATAATGTGAGGTAGAATTCAAAGCTAAGTCTGGTACAAACAACCACGTCTGATAATTCACTTCCCTTCTAACAGGAATTATTCTGATAGGTTTTTTTTTGTTTGTTTGTTTGTTTTTATGGGGGGGGCACGGGATTCTGGTTTTCTTTCTTTCTTTTTTTTTTTGGCACTCAACACTCCCACAATATTCTTACTCCACAAACCCCACTGCCACTCAGCTGAAGGTATGGCAACTTTGAGTCCAGACAATTGAAGCTCAGAAAAATGCAAAGAAAGTCAGGTTTTCTAGAAAGGATCATCTATATTAACTGAAGGTTTGTTGCCTCCCTAAATGATAGTTTGATGTTGACTGTATGTGTTTTAACAAAAATATTGTAATTTTATCAAAATTCCTACAGATTTTACTAAATGAACTATATGGTTTTTCTTAACATCTTCCTAGGACAGAAGGTAGAGTTGAGGATTCATATGGGGGTGCAGATAGAGAAAAGGGAGGAGAGGGAAAGATGCATGACAGTAGAAAATTATTGCTGTACTCTCTGGGGTTATTAAATATCATCTGGTAGATAGTTTTAGAACAGAAGGAACATAATATAATCCCTAATTGATAATGAGGCATGACAAATTTGCTGATCACACTGATAGTTTCTATAAAATCACTTAAGATGCTTTGCTCCCATTGGAATGCACCAGGCCCAGCATAAGTAACCCCAGGTCTGCCGAATTGACAATGCCCCTTTTAATCGAGGAGCTCAGAGGGCTAATCAGATGCTCTCAAGGAAGCTGAACTGTGAAAAACTGAGTAAAGATCATCAATTCTCCCTCCCTTTGCCACTGGACTATTCTAGAGAGAAATTCCAGTCCAAGGATCCTCCAAGGTCACAATGAATTGACGGTATAAGCTGAGTTTTAGCATGAACCAGAGGATGTTAAACACCATTCACTGCTTCTTTTCCCCAGGTAATCTGTCACATTTTGATCCCTGGAAGCGCCTAAGTTCTCACCCTCCTCTTTGCAAGGGCTTCCCAAACTCTACAATCTGTCAAGATTGCATTGAGAGGGTAGCAAAATTGTGTAATGGCAGAAGTTCGTCTTAGATCTCCCGTTTCCTTTTTCACAGCCTTACTCTGGGTTCCCAGTTTTTGTTCTGATTTTACCCACCTTTGACCAGCATTACCCAACTTCTATAATTCCCATCTCATCCA